CTTTTCTTTGCTTTTTATATAATACTTTTATCATTAAAGCAACCTTATCACCAAAAGATAATAGTTTAAAAATTTCAATATCTGGTATATTATTAGTTGACAAAGCATTGTAGTTAGAAGATTCAGCAACAAGTGCTTTATTTTTATCATAGTGATCAGGTTTGACAACAATTAAATAATGAGGGTAATATAATTGCATTTTAACTTCTAAATAATTATATTAATTAATAATATCTTTAGCTCTTATTTTTGTTAGAGTATAATCTGTAATTCTGCGAAATTGATTTGAATTTGTTTGACAATTACAAATTGAACAAGGACTATAATTTTTTTTTGGAGGCATTGTATTTCTTAATACTAGGTAAATAGCCAATTATACAAAGATATTTTATAAATCAATGTTATTTTAATTGATGTATTAATTGTATTATTTTTTTATTTTCGATTAAATAAATTTACAAAGATTAAATAGATTAATCGCATTCCTTTTATATTTTAGATATGAGAGACACACAAGTTTTTTGTTACATTTCTTATCAGTATTGAACAACGACAATATCATATTATATGATATTTCATATGATATCAATCACATCATATGATTAGTTAATAATATAACTCTTGATCATTGATTAATTATACTTGATGATCGAGCTTGATATTACAGGTTTGATCAAAAGTAAGTTAATCGATCAAGTGGTTGAAATTTGATTGATTAAAAAATTTACAAGGTATCATTATAGTAGATTACTTAGGTAGGGAATTGACTTGATAAAAAAATTGTTAATTAGTAATTGATCAAAAAAATTATTTTTAATAGCCATGATTCAATTGATATATAGATCCTATACGGGTTATCTAGGTGATCTACCATAATGATATCTTTGTAAATTTTTTTTTTTACTGTACAAATTTTCTTGATTAATCAAATTTTAATCATTTGATTGATCAATATAATCAATTATTAATTAAATCACTTTTGATCGAGCCCATAATATCAAGCTTGATTATTAAGCATAATCGATCAATAATCGAGGGGTATATAATCAAGACAATTCTCTAATATGAAGTCATATAAGTTAGTTAATCGTCTAATACTGTTTTCTTTACATGGGGTCTTTGCCTTGAAAATGACCTTATGATATATAATACTATAAAGTCATTTTCAAGGCAAAGACCCCACATATCAAAAAATTATCTATTATTCCTTCTAGAATGCTATGATTGCGAATCAACAAGTGCTTTTTCTTTTCTTTTCTAATTTAGATTCCCACTATATTATTTTTTCTATACAAATTACTCTTCGCTCATGGCACCTTGAGATTTGTGGTGCATTCTTGTCACATTCAGAATTCCTTTTCTCATAAAAGCATATAATAACTAACTTTTATTTTTAAAGCATTTTTTATTAAAAAAAGTTTTTTACAAATATTATATTCAATAATAATTTAATATATTTTAAAAAATTTATATAGTCTAATGCTTTACATAGTTGTAGTTATTCCAAACAAATGCATTTTATCCAATAGCCAAAATTTTTATTGTAAAATTTGAAGGGCAAAGTAATAAAAATTAAAAATTTTGTAATAAAAAGAGCAAAAAAATGCATTCATATTATCAATATATATAACGATATGACAAGTTTATTATTTTATAGCAATATCTTGATATTATACATAAGCCCTAACACTAGATCGGTATGTGCAATAATAAACCATTTTTATTGGTCTAATGTCATGTGATTGCACAAAATCAGTATTTTGTAGATCACAAAAATTTACCAATCAAAAGAAACTTCCATCATGCTTGATCACTCAAATTGTAAAAAATTTATTCACCTGATCTGCGTGACATCTCAAATCTGGTTATCAATAACTGTTCACTATGCATATAGGTTTTGAAAGGTTCAGTAGTTTTATTTAACTATATGAAACAAAATTTTATAAACTTTATCACTTCGCAAGTTCTGTAAAGACTAAGTATTTAAAGTTTTATATGTACACATTATTTATTCTAATAGTAAAATTTTCTGAGCACTTCGTTCAAACGTTGAGAAAGTGGTGACTATTACTAGAGTGAATAAAACCGGATAAACCAACTAATATTTAGCACTAAACTATCAACAATCGTCCAAGGCTTATAAACTTTGAAATGGGAGGCTATAATGAGGCGTGAAGAGATTTGTCTGATTAACAAAGCAGTGTTTAAAATTTATATG